GATAGATAGATGAAGTGGTGTAGGGATGGGTGGTGGGTGGGTGGGTGGGTGGCCATGGATGGAAGGATGGATAATAATAATAATAATAACTTTAATTCTTATAAAGCCCATTACACCTGTCTCAATGGTCTTAACAAATACTTAGAAAATTTGAAAATAAAAGAATAATGGATGGTTGAATTAGTAAAAGAAAGAAGAAAAAGATTGGATAAATGAATTAATTTACAGAATGAACTGAAGAATGGAATTTGTCATTAGTTATTATTCTGCTAATAAATGCAATTAGAATGGAAATTTTAGATTGGGATAATAATTTCCCATTTTGTACTAAGAAAATTGAACTATTAACAGAAAAGGGGAAATGAATGAATGAATGGAAGAGCAAAATAATGAATTAATGGTCAATAAGGGAGAAAGAAGTATAGCACCCCAAACCTTCCTGGCTCTATAGTACTCTTCCTGGGTAATCCTCCTAGTTTTATCTTTTCCGTCTCACTTTTCACGATGATATACCATTTCCAGGAAGCATTGGAGGGCTCGCATGGGATGCAGAGAAAAAGTTGCTGTTCTCCGGAAGTTTTGACCAGTCAATCATCATCTGGGACATTGGCGGACAACAGGGGACGGCATTTGAGCTTCAAGGACACATGTATGTAAACTAACATAACCATATTTTACTATACGCCGTAGATGCTGTGCACCATTGTGCGATGGGAGCCTTGACGGGATGCTCAACAATAGAGCTTTTTTGCAACGGGAAATTGACTTTTTTATGTAAATCTGGTTAGACCAGAGTCAATAGGGCAGCGCACTGATTCTAAAAATAGCTTAAAGATTGAGACAAGCATTGCATTCTGTTTAACCACTACGAGGATTATGCAAACCGATTTTATTATTTTTACTTAAAGTTACAATAATAACCCATGTAAACTAAGATCAACTGCGATCGGCTGTGAAAATTATCTGCTGAAAGTAAACTTGTAAGTTTGTTTGTCCGAATTTCACCTTTGCCTTCGTTTTTATGAGGTCACGGTTGTGCTGCGCTATAATTGTTCATGCCTCTTGTCATGGCTGCCATTACGTCATGGTGCAAAGCCCCAATAAAATATATTTCATTGTCTTGGGGGGGGAAGCACTAAGTAGTGAATCAAGGATAGTTGTGATGTCCTCTCACCCCAGTAGGTCCCAGGTTCAATTCTTATACTCACCATATACATAATGACAGAGTTTGTTAGGTCTCTAAATCCGGGTTATGGTTTCTCGACTTTACTATGCAAAAATCACAGATCAAATTGGAAATTTAGCTTATGATATATAGGTTTTATGGAGAAAGGAAAATCAGAGAACCCAGTATAAAAGCCTTGAATCAAGGGAGAGACTTACTGTAGGAAACTACTCACATGTGATGCCAAGTCCAGAAATTGAACCCGAAACCCTAAAGGCACCCGAGAGGTTCTACACCTTCCTTGCTTCGAAGGAAGCACGGGTGGCATAGCAGTGAGAGCGCTCGCCTCTCACCAATGCGACCAGGGTTCGAGTCCCGCTGAGCTCGGTGTCATATGTGAGTAGAGTTGTTTGTTGGTTCTCTCCTGTACTTCGAGGGTGTTCTGGGTTCTCCGGTTTTCCTCCCTCCGCAAAAATCAACTACTAAATTCCAATTGGAATTTCAGTGGATGAAGAGCCACTCTGTGGAAATGCCACTGCTAAATCCTATTTATTTATTTTATTTTATTTATTCCTTCAGATTGACATGCTGACATTGTATGGCATGTTTTTGTGTTTGAGCTACCTTCATTAAATTTATAAAACTCCTCTAAAAAAATCTGTGATTGATGATTCCATTGCAGGTCTAAAGTACAGGCCCTCTGCTATGCTCCTCATGCCAAGAAACTGTTCTCATGTAGTGAAGATGGTGTCATCATGGTTTGGGACATGTCTGTCAAGAGAAACGAGGTGATTCATTGCTACCTGACCTAAATAATGCTTCCTATAACATCACACACAACATATTTGAAGTATAACCTTTAATCTCTCCAAGATGCATCACTCAAATCATACAAAAATATTTTACCATTCAACTCTTCACGAAAGGTTGAAAGTAAGTCGTCGGAATAGCTGCATTTTCAGGACGGGGTCTTTCCAAAGAAAAGCAGACAAATATGTTGAAATTATATGCAATATACTGTACATGTATATACGCTGTATTGCTTACTATCAATCACGTGACTTTTTGGAGTTGACTGGGGGGGGGCAAACAAGCGGTTGACTGGGGGGCAACTAGCGGATGCTAAGTCAAAACATATCAAAATAAGTCCTCAAACTATTGTATTTGACTATGTTCACGACATCAAACCAGAAAACAAGAGATCAAAACAACCTCCAGGATTCTACAAGCCAACAAAAAAGAGCTATTACCGGAAGTGACGTCTATTGATAGCAACCTATATGCTATATCTTGTTGATAAATCCTTATCCACTGGATAAGTTGTTGTTGTTATCAACTGGATAAGATTTATCTTGGATAATGCTCTCCACCCTTCGTACAACCAAGCCTAGGGATCCCTAAGACCTTACATTCTGATGTCAGTAAAACTGATTGCCTGCCTTACTATTCTTGGATTGCAACCCAAAATCCCTTGAGATATAAATAACAATGAAACAGCCGCCATCTTGGTTGATCTAAGAGAAGATTCATGAGGAATGATTTGTTATCGTCAACCACCATGGCGGCTATGACGTAACATACACCCCAAAAATAGGAGGATACCAATCAAACAGCCGCCATGTTTGTTGATCTAACGAGAGAAGCTAATGAGAAATGCTTTGTTATCGTCAACCAACATGGCAGCTATGACGTAACATGCACCCCAAGAATAGGAGGATACCAATGAAACAGCCACCATGTTTGTTGATCTAACGAGAGAAGCTAATGAGAAATGCTTTGTTATCGTCAACCAACATGGCGACTGTGACATACAGTTGTAACATGTACCCCAAGAATAGGAGGATACCAATCAAACAGCCGCCATGTTGGTTGATCTAACAAGAGAAGTTTATTGAGGAATGCTTCGTATAGTCAACCAACATGGCGGCTATGACGTAACATGAACCTCAAGAATACTGTCTTACTACACATATATGTCTACCAATCAAATTGAGGCGATTCACTACTACTCGATACCTGTCTCACTTTAAGATAGGGGTTCCTTAATCTTCGGAAATCCTGGAATCAGTACATAGCAGCACACTTCCCATGTTTCTCATCCATTCATTAAGTTACCTATTTTATTTTTACAGACTCCAGAGTGGTCTCAATGTGATATCTGCGAGAGATGTGGAGGGCCTTTCTTCTGGAACTTTAAAGAAATGTGGAACAAGAAGACTGTCGGAGTCAGACAGGTGAGAAAAACCTTTGGTCGTAAGCCCAGATATGACTGGTAAGAACGTATCATACTTACATACATGCCAACATGGCTGGCAACATCACTTTATTATGATGTTGCCATTGACGATAATTTTGGTTAAAGTGTACAGTATGTCAAGAAAAAAATTTATTTTTTCAAAATCAATTGTATGTGAACAGTGTAGTAGTATGGCTGCAGTATTTTTGTATGTGGACTTCTCTTTCCAGAGATATAAAAATTTGAAATATCGATATGCAAATGAGATGACGTAAATTCAAGACTAATTTATTATACAAAAATGCTGTTGTGGAAAGTACTGCTGTTTTTTTCATTTGCAAATCATCCTTATAGCTGAAATATATGGTTTTGTACACTTTTAGGTTATTTCACTTCAGAACACTTGTCGTAAATCACTCTGCAAAATGTAACACATTCTTGAATTTACGTAAAAATATAATTTGTATATTTGTATATTTATATATTTATATATTCTTAAAATATAATTTTTCCTTGATATACACTTTAAGTTAGTCATTCTGAGGTTGAGGGGAAAATGGGTTGAGTTGTCATCGCAGTGCATCGTGGGACTGTTTGGGGGACGAAATAGACGCCATCTTGAAAATATGTCCCCTACAAAGTCCCACAATGCACTGCAATGCTAACTGCACCCAGTTTTTTCTTCAGACTCAAAATGACTAATAGCTTGGGATGTGTATACTGTATAACTTGTTCTAATCAGGATTTTTATGTTTTGTCAGCATCATTGCCGTAAATGTGGTCGTGCGGTTTGTAACAACTGTAGTGAGAAAGAATCCACGCTACCCATCATGGGTTTTGAGTATCCTGTTCGATTTTGTAACCAGTGCTACGAGACGATAACCGACCAAGAGTAAGTACTTACCCTAGCTACCTTTCTGAGCTTTTTAAATACACGCACGAGATTTACACCCATAACTTGCGTTGCGTAGCCTTGCGTAGCCCTGCGTAGCCTTGCGTAGCCTTGCGTAGCCTTGCGTAGCCTTGCGTAGCCTTGCGTAGCCTTGCGTAGCCTTGCGTAGCCTTGCGTAGCCTTGCGTAGCCTTGCGTAGCCTTGCGTAGCCTTGCGTAGCCTTGCGTAGCCTTCTCGCTAATGAGGGACTTTAAGATTTGCAAAATCTACGACGGCGACGTCAACCGGAAGTGTAAATAATTTCTCTTTGGGGTTCTGTTCATTGGAGATTTCATTCAAAACATTGTTAGTAAAGTCAACTCATCCACAGGGAAGATAGATTTTAAACGGACTCGAAACCCCAAAGTGAAGTAATTTGAACTTCCGGTTGACGTCGCCGTCGCAGATTTTGCGAATCTTAGGCCCCGTCCACACGTATCCGGAAATTTTTGTATCCGCAAATTTTTTTTTGCGGATACGAAAATGTTCGTGTCCACACGCAGTGTATTCGAATCGTTTTCAAATCGTTTTCACTGTCCACACGTATCCGGAAATTTCTTGATCCGCCCTGATGCGCGCTAGTGCCTAGTCCATTTGACGGATAGTTTTTCTTATTGAGCATGCGCAAAATCGTGTTTACGTCATCGCATTCGAAAATTTGCGGATACGACATTCCACACGTATCCGTATTCGGAGCGTATTCGAAAATTTCCACTCTGGAGACCGTTTTCGAAAATTTCCGGATACGGATACAAAAATTTCCGGATACGTGTGGACGGGGCCTTAAAGTCCCTATTGTCATTGTCGCTGTTGTGATTGTCAAACACACACCTCATTCGTTTCAAAAATGATGTCTTGCTTGTTTGATACCAGTCGAACACCTCTGGCCACGCCACACGATGGCAAACACCCAATCAAGTTCATGCACATGGATCTAACAAAAGCAAGAATGCTAACGTGTGGAGGGGATAGAATTGTCAAGGTGAGAAAAAAACGTTCTATACTTTTAAGGTTATGATCAAGAGAAAAATGAACTAAGAGAAGGAATTCCCCCTATATAGCCTTGTAACCATCATGTGCACAGTTTGATGCTATTTTTAAAAAAATTGTTTTTCTGCACGCGCATTTACTGCGCGCGCTCTACGCTGTTTCCTTACGTTTTTGGGGGTTTTCCGTTATTTCGACTGTGCCCGGTATATGAATGTGCACGTCGAAAGCTTGGCAAATACGACAGGAAATTGAAATTGTAATTTGTTCAACTTTCTGGAGTATTTTTACATTTATTTTCCAAAGCTTTCGACCTACATCGTCATCTTAAGGGCAGATTTGAACATTTGAACATAAGAAAAGTACAAGAAAACGTTAGCAAACAGCGTAGAGCGCGCGCGTACTATGCGCGTGCAGAAAATCAAAAAATCAAATGAATGATATCATTGGATGATATTTTTAGAAGAGATTCTAAAAATAGCATCAAAGTATGCACATGATGGGGCACGGGGATTCCTTTTCTTAGTTCATATTCTCTTGTTATGGTAGAACCTTTGTGATGGCAGGCATGACAGGAGGCACAACGATAGAGTCTTTGAATTCTTTCTCGTGTAAATCAAATTACACCAGATGGACGACACGGCGGCCATCTTGGATCGCAAGGCAGTATGTTGTTACAGTAATGGCTTTAATTGGTATTAATGGCTCACCACAATAGACACGACAATAGATTAAGAGGAAATTTTTTTCAATAATGAGCAATAAGGGCAAAAAGCGCCAAAAACTAGACTTTCGTATGAGTTTTGATCCCAATTTTCGTTTTGGGTTAACACTCAAAACCTTTTTTAAACAGTTAGAAATTGATGTACTATGATAAAACGCCTGTTTGAAGCGGTATTTTCAATTTTACAAAGATGTTTTGTTGCATTTGTGTTAAAATGTTGCTTTGTCAGGCTTTTTCTTAGAAAATGTATGGGAAATAAGCAAATGAAGGCCTAAACCTTATTTTCGAATAAAATTTTTGCTTTGGTTCCACTTTCATCGGTCATCTCCACTTCCAAACAAGTTAAACTTTCTGTATAACAAGATTTTAGCCTTGTACAACAGCCTTTCTTCAAGAAAATAAATTTTGGCGCTCACTGCTTGAATACGAAAAGAATTCTCTCAATTTATAAGACGCCACGTCGATCACCTTTACCCATAAAAGAAAGGCAAAAATACGAAACTCTATTTTCCGTCGTCTTTGTTTTGTTTTGCCCCTTGGGAAGATGGCCGCCGTATCGTCCAAGTACTCCATTGTCCCTGCCTCCTGTCATGTCTCTAATCACGTGATGGTACAATGCCAATAATTGACTGGGATGCACCAATTTGAAATGTCATTTTTTATCTTTTTCAGTTATGGGATGCCAAAGCGATTCTATTATCATAGGAAACAGTAAGATAAATTACGTAACAGAAACCATGGAAATAAAATGACGTCAAAAAACTAAATACGAATGAAAAAATAGAACAATTACGTAATAGATACCATGGAAGCAAAATGACGTCAAAAGCTAAGCACGAATGACATGGTGACTCAAAAAGAATTATCTGAATCGCTGAAAAAAATTTACTAGTGAGAAATCAGGAAAAAAAACAAATTTTGTGCATATTGTATGATGATTTTCATCGTGCGACTTAAGTATCAAGATAAACATTTGCAAATCAAATTCTACCAACTTGACAGAATTATGGAAATCTAGGAATTTGTCAGCACCATCATCGTTGTTATCATCATCATCAAGGACAACAGCATCATCGGTAGACCTCTTTATCGTTGTTATCATCATCATCATCGGTAGACCTCTTTATCGTTGTTATCATCATCATCATCATCGGTAGACCTCTTCATCGTTGTTATCATCGTCATCATCGGTAGACCTCTTCATCGTTATCATCATCATCATTGGTAGACCTCTTCATCGTTATCATCATCGTCATCGGTAGACCTCTTCATCGTTATCATCATCGTCATCGGTAGACCTCTTCATCGTTATCATCATCATCATTGGTAGACCTCTTCATCGTTATCATCATCATCATTGGTAGACCTCTTCATCGTTATCATCATCATCATTGGTAGACCTCTTCATCGTTATCGTCATCATCATAATCATCATCATCATTTATAGCAACTAACTACTCCATCAATCAACAAAAGCAACGTCTACAAGAGAAGACGAAGAGGACGATATTTTCCATGTTTGTCCGCCGTGAATATTTGTGCATTAAAATAACTGTTCCCAGTCATGTTTAGATAAGCAGAAATGAAAGGTTTGAGCGAGATGAAAAAATTCCAAATTTTGAGTTAAGGCTTTCATCTGGAATCACACGTCTCTCTTTCATGGTGAGTTTCATCGTTCGTTTCTTTTCTCTTCTTTAAATGTTCTTATATTTCCTAATGCTGTGAAAAATGGTGGAGAGGAAAGGTTGATGGGGTAGGGAAAGCTGGCGCTTAAAACTAATTGGCCTTTCCACTTAGTTGGGCCCTTAATGGGCCACGTTCGATTTCTTTAAATTCGGACATCATTGCAAGGCTTTAGTCGCAAGGTACCTCATGTATGGTTTATAAACGTGGATCCTCAATCAAACCTATTGGTAGGAATACACTAATGAGCCATATACGACGTTCCTACCTTTTGCGTATAATAAGAAAATGTTGGTAGAAATGCTGGTCAGTTCACCACTTAACGACGTTATAGTAGATTCTACAGTACTGTCTACTGATCCTTTCGAGATTGAATGTTATTTTTGATGGTTTTCACGGCCGCCATGTTGGAGGAATTTAACAAAAGATTCTTCATTAGTCTCTTGTTATATCCTCCAACATGGCCGCCGTGTCTTTTGTATTTACATTCTCTTGGGAATGATTGAAAACCATCAATAGTGCTAGGATTTTGATATCTCGAACGTGGCCTTTTACAAAAGCAGCTTTGACGAAGAGCCTTGGAAATTAAAAGAACTTGAATCCTTGGCTTTCACGTGACGTCACCAAGAAACTAAAATCCAAAGTATTCACTCCACGAAA